AAACAATGTTTGTCTTTTTGTGGGTGGCTTATTTCATTTCACGTAATGCAGTCAAGGTTCATATGTGTGGTGGTATGAGATAGGATAACTTTTCTTTTTAAGGCTGAATAACATTCCATTGTATATATATACAACATTTTGTTCATTCACTCATTCATGGACATTTGGATTGTACCTACCTCTTAGTTATTTTGAACAATGTTGCTATGAACATGGATATACAAATAATTTTTATCATTCAAATGTCAAGTCTCCCTTGAATCTTCTTGCTTTGGCTCATTTTCCTCTTATTTTTTCTTTTGTTTGCTTGCTTATTTGTTTGTTTTTTAAAGTAGGTTCCACACCCAACATGGGGCTTAACCCCATGACCCTAGATTAAGAGTTGCGTGCTCTACCAGCTGTGCCAGCCAGGTGCCCCTGTTTGTTTCTCTTTTTGATTCAGAATTTATAGTCATTATCTGTTGGAAGGTTGGGTTCAAAAGGAGATTACTTGGCTACAAGGGAATTGGAGTTGACAGTGAAATTGGATTTTAACAAAGATTGAGCCACATGTTATTTATGAGAGCATAATACAGTTATTTAAAGAAAACTTGAAATAAAAGAATGAGTATACAGCAGGCCTGTACAAACAACAAGAAAGCTGGAGTCACATTAATGATATCAGATAAAGAGGAATTCAAGGCCAAAAGCATTAAATAGGTGAAAAATGTATTATATAATGAAAAATGATAAAAATCTATGAAGAAGATACAGTAGTCACGAATCTTTATGGATGATGATAGCAGTCAAATACACAAATACATGAATCAGAAACTCCTAGAAATAAAATGAAAACTTGTTAAAAATATCTTTTAATAGATACATTGTATTTATTACTTATCAGGTACAAATATAATTAGAAACTTGATTTAATAGATGTGTGTAGGATATACATATGTATACTCACACGAGTAACAGTATATTAGATCAATATTAATAAAATGTAGTCTTCCCTCGTACTTATTAAAACATTTTCCACAGTGATCATATACTTGGTCGAAAAGAAAACTTTCATAAATTTCAAAAGGGAATGATTTTACAGAGTATGTTCTTATCCCAAACACAGAATTACAACCTGAAAGAAAAAAAAAATCATAGAAACTTAAGAAATAAATATATCCCATTTCAAATAACCCTGTATCCCAAAGAAAATAAAACTTATTATAGGGGCACCTGGGTGGCTCAGTTGGTTAAGCACCCAGCTCTTGATTACAGCTCAGTTCATGATCTTGAGGTCAAGAGATGAAGCCCCTTTGGGTATCCATGCTGGACATGGAGTCTGTGTATGATTCTCTCTCTCTCTGCCCCTCCCCTCAAAAAACTCCTGATATGATAAATCATCAAATAGCAAACAAGAGAGGTTATTTCATATCCAAACCCCAATATATGAGCAAATCTCTCTCTACACAGAGTAAAATTATTACCTTTAAATACTCTTATGATTAAAAAAGAAAGGAAAAAATAAAAAAGAATGGTAAAAACTTAGTAAAATAGTTAATTATAAGCAGGTTCCATGCCCATTGTGGAGCCTGATGTGGGGATTGAACTCATGACCCTGAAATCAAGATCTGAGCTGAGATCAAGAGTCGGATGCTTAACTGACAGAGCCACACAGGTGCCTCTAAAAGAAATATTCAATTTAAATAACTAACAATAGGAAAACAAGATAAAAATGTAGGCAGTATGAACCAATAAAAACAAAACCCAAAACCAATTAAATACAAATGAGGGAGAAAGAATGTGTCTTTGTGCATATGGACATGCCTCTCTCTCTCTCTCTCTCTCTCTATATATATATATATATATATATATACACACACACTCAAATTATATATATATAATTTGAGTAAATGTAATTTGAATGCATACATGTAATTTGATTATATATAATTTTAACAGAGAAATGAAATAAAATAAACCCCTGACCAGTTGATATATTACTTAGAATACTTTCAATTTTACCTAGATCAATTCCTGTTGTAAGTACAGAGGGGAAAAGTCTAAATAAAATGTTAGCAAACTGTATAATACAAAGCAATATTTAACATACTTAGTTCCATGAACTGATTGATGGAGTAAACCCATATGTTTGTTTCCATAAATACCAACAGGATATTTGATAAAATTCTTCAGACTTTCCTAGTTAAAACTAAAATGGATTAAAATATAAACAGAAGGAAACTAATTAAACATGATAAAAACCAATTATCCAAAGGCAGCTGTAAGTGTTACAACGAATCATGACATATTGAATCATTTCTATTACAATTAGAGGCAAGATAGGCATGCTTGTCATCACTATATTATTAAATTTTGTTTTAAAAGCTGTAGTTACTATAGTAATGTAGGAAAATAAAATGCATCATGTATATATGTAATACATGTGAAATTTAAAAATTATCTTTATTTGTATATGATGTAATTGTACAACTAGAAATCTCAAGAAACTTCAATAAAATCTATTAGAATTAAGAGTTTATGACATTTCTGGATAAAAGAAAAACATAAAAATTAGTAGTTTTTGTTTATATCAACAATAACGGATAGGAAGTTAGAATGTAAAAAACAAATCTCATTCACGATGGTGATAAAAATCCATAAAATAATTAGGAATAAATTTTTCAAGAAAAATCTGGGGCTTCATATTATGAAGAACATAATTTTATTCTGAAGGACACCCACAAATACTAAAGTAATAGGGAGACATAAAATGTATCTGGATTTGTTGACTAAACAGTAAGAAATGAACATTTTCTAAACTAATAAATATAATTAATGCTATTTCATTTTATTTTTTAAAGATTTATCTATTTAGGGATGCCTGCGTGGCTCAGTTGGTTAAGCAGCTGCCTTCGGCTCAGGTCATGATCCCAGCGTCCTGGGATCGAGTCCCGCATCAGGCTTCTTGCTCGGCGGGGAGCCTGCTTCTCCCCCTGCCTCTGCTGCCACTCTGCCTGCCTGTGCTCACTCTCTCTCTCTCTCAATCTGGCAAATAAATAAAAAAAAAGATTTATCTATTTATTTATTTTAGAGAGAAAGAGAGCGCAAGTGGGAGGGTCAGAGGATGAAGTAGAGAGAATGTCAAGCAGACTCCATGCTGGTGTGGAGGCCCACGTAGGGCTTGGTCTCAGAACCCTGAGATCATGACCCGAGCCAAAACCAAGAGTCAGACGCTTAACCAACTGTGCCACCCAGGCACCCCTATTTAATGCTGTTTTAACCAAAAGCTTATTTTTAAAAATTTGACACCAGGAAAAATGACTTTAAAATTTATTAGAATAAAAAATGTCTGAGAAGAGCTAAGAAAAATTTAAAAAAGACTTTGTGTAGCAACTTGCCTTTCTGAATATTAAAATTCATGTTAAACACTACACTGATAAAAGCAGTATGTTAGCATGGGAACTGATAAATATATTCATGGGTATGTCTTGATATTCATATATAGAATAGTATATTCACAGATCCAAATATATACATAAAACTTAATAAATGACAAAAAAATCTTAATTAAATAGGAAAATGATGATCTATAAATAATGCAGATATACTTTGCTGTTTATCTGGATGAAAAAACAGAGCCCTACTTTACATTATATGTAAAATTAAATTTTAGAGTAATTAAAGCTGTGGGTGTTCTTAATTAATATAGAAGAACAGCACTGCATTTCAGATAATAAAAATTAGATAAATTTATTTTATGTAAAAGACTAAAAACTGAGAAACAAAATTTATAAAACTTTATAGACGAAAAAAAAAAGTTGTAACCTGACAGAGAGCTAATATTTCTATTATATAAAGAACCTCTAAAAATTGACAATAAAAGACAGACAACTGAAGTGAAAAGGGGCAAAACATATGAAGGCAGGTAGCTGGACAGGAAATATAAGTGGCTAAAACTCATGAAAAATATGCTTTCTCTTCTTAATTAGGAAAATGTAAATTAAAACAAAAATCAAATCCATTTTGTCCCCAATGTGTTATCAGAGATCAAAAAGAGCTATCATCTTCATTGGTCATGAAGATAAAGGAAAAGAGAATGTTCATTTATTTATTATGGAATATGAATTGCTACAGTTTCTTTTTTTGGAAAGAGATCTAATTTAAAAAATTTTAAAACCCATCATTTTATTCAGCTTAGTAAAGTGTTGTTTATAAAGTACAAACAGATAAATTCTGAAAAGCTGTCAGCTGGGAAATATTTGAATAAATTGTATGTTTAATATTTAGCAGATTTTTTTTAAAAAAATGAGGTTAGAACCATCTGATTTAACTTGGGCCAATGTCCATGATATATTAAGCTAAAAAATCAAGTTGTGCCCCATGTTCTCATGTCTGCTTTAAAAACAACAAAAATTATACAAAAATAGCAACCAATAAAAAAAATAGCCTATATGTATGTATTAGGATAGTTTCAGGTACATATGGAAATTTTGATATTGATTATCATAGGAGCATGGCATTAGAGGGTGAATCTATGGTTTAACTGCCTTTGAAATACGAGTAACTGCTTTCCTCCCAATTTTGTTGAGATATAATTTACATGTAACATTGTATTAGTCTGAGGTATACAGTGTAAAGATCTGATGTATGTACATATTGTGAAATGATTACTACAATAAGTTTAGTCGATATCCATCACCTCACACAGTTACAAAACAACTTCTTATGATGAGAAAATTAGCTTAATATTTTAGAAGGTTGGCAACTGTGGGTAAGTCTGAAGAGCATAAAGTAGGAGGTGTAGACCTAGTCCCACCTCTGACTTGCAGTGTGACCTTTCTGCCTTGATTTTCTCATCTCTAAAGTGTGAGTGGTAGTAACCATCCTACCTATCAGGCTACAGTGTTGTAAAGATAAAATGAAGGATGAAGACAAACATAATTTGAATAGTTAAAAAATGTTGAAATGTAAGCTATTATCCTCAAGAAAATTCTCAAACATTCTCAATTTATATAATGCAGGTGAAAAAATCATCTGAGGAAACATCTCTTCCCAATGGTGATGTAGCGGGAGAGGAACAGAGCAGTGCAGAGGTAAGAGTTAGTATCTTGAACCATCTTCCCCCTGACTACCTTCCTCAGAATGTCTACTTGGTTTTCATTTTTCTGTCATTCAACTCTACATAGATAGAGTGTCTTTCTATTTATCTGTCTATCATCCATCATCCATCTATCCATCCATCTACCCACCCATTATCCAYCCATCTATCCATATATTTATTCACTATCTATCATCCATCATCCACCTATCCATCATCCATCCATCCATCCATCCATCCATCATTCATCCATCATCCATCCATCCATCCATCATCCATCCTTCCTTCCATCCATCCTTCCTTCTTTCCATCCCTCCATCTATCCATCCATCCTTCCTTCATCCATCCATCATCCATCCATCCACCCATCCATCCATCCATCATCCATCCATCCATTGAATCCATCCATCATCCCTCCATCATCCCTCCATCATCCCTCCATCTATCCATCCATCATCCATCCATCCATCCATCTATCCATCTATTATCTCTCTCTCTATTCTCTATCATCTTTTCTTACTCTCTAAAATTATAAAGCCTGCTACCACTCAAGCAACAGAAAACAAACTGCCTGAATATCAAATCCTTTGGAGTTATCTTCATAAGCCTTAAATGGGTGAATTATAGCTCCTCATTAGTGTGTTTATTTCTCTACCATGCACATGACTCAGATGTACTGACCAACAACAGGAGGTCCAATGAGCAATACAGGGGGTGGTGATTCTGTACTAGTAGCGAAGTGACCAAATAGATAGGAAGTCTGTGTTCCCTTTGTTTATATACTGTGTATCCAAGTAAGAAAACTGTAGCATGTGTGGATTGGTTTTCCCTAGAAATCTTATCTAAGGTTAGTGATACCATGGGTTTGCTTCATGACCAGGGAACAGAGAAGACTGAAGAGAGTGGAGAAAACGAGGCACAAAAAGAGGACAACGGGGATGCGGGTGACCTTGCCGAGTCTCAAGAGAAGAATGTGAGTGTTGGTTTTTTGCCCCATGGTTTCTCTGGATTCAGGTCAACAAGCATTGCAGCATCTTCCATGTTCCAGGAATCCTCCTGGGCACACTGAAGTGAGCAGGGCAGGCAGGAGCTGAGCATTCAGCCAGCAAGGAAGCAGGAGGAAGTGTTCACTACTGTGGTCAAGGCAAGTTGAGGACTAAAAGGAAGCCAGAGAAGGACCCTGAACCCAGGCCTGGAGGAGCAGGCTAGACAAGGCTTTAATAATCTATAGTTGTGTTGTTATGGGTAGGTTAGATTCAAGTTCTTCATAAAACAAGGGACCTTATCCCTTGGTCATGAGTAATGATGGATTCCCAGCGAACGCCTGCCAAGAACATTGTCTACTGGGGACACAAAGGTAAGGGGGTGGGACATTTCTTGGGAAGCCAGTAGGACCTGGGGATAGAGAGGGGGGCCTGGGGAGGGAAACCCATAGTCAGTTCAGATCCAATCATGGGAATATCAGCAGCTTCAAGACCTGTGATCTAATTCTAAAGGGGTCCCAATTCAGGGGCCCCAGAATAAAGGGCAGAGGGGTGGGTATGGGAGCACAGGGCAGACTGTAGTTATAGAATGGCCAGGCTGAGAGAATGGGGGAGCAGATGGGCCACTTGGTCATGGAATTCTGAAAATGTAGCTGGGAAGCCAGGTAAGCGGAAATGGTGGTGCTCAGGGAGCTGAGTGTGTGGGGTTGGGGACATTGGGCTGAGCCCCGCTCAGAGTTTTAGTGGTCGAAATGCATTGGGCCAGTTGCAACAAAGACTTGTTTACTGAACCATGATGGTTTGCATTTTTATCTATTTATGGCTTTTTTTTAACTGATTTATTGATTCCAGAAGAGGTATAGATATCTCATTCCCAGCAGATGGAATATGGTTAGAAAGGGCCCTAGGGAACCATGTTATGGGCTTGTTGGGGTTGGGTGTGGGTATCAATTCATTTGTATCTTAAAGAATTTAAATCTGGAGGGGCCAGGGCAGTAAGTTCCTCATATTTAAAGATGGCTAGGGGTGCCTTGGTCGTAAGCAGTCATTAAGCATCTGCTTTCAGCTTGAGTCGTTGTTCCAGGGTCCTGAGATTGAGCCCCGCATAGGGCCCCTTGCTCAGCGGGAGGCCTGCTTCTCCCCACCTCACTCCCCTTGCTTGTGTTCCCTCTCTCACTGTGTCTCTCTCTGTCAAATAAATAAACAAAATTAAAAAAAAAATAAAGATGGCTATTTCAAAGTGTTGATAATTCAAGACTCTTTGAAGTCTTTAGTTTGGAAAAACACAGGATCTTTAATCCCAACCTAGAAGTTAGATGGAGTTTCATGGCAGCCTGTATCATTCAGAAATAATAAATTTTAAATTAAATATAGTAGTAATCTCGTTACATTGTCACTTAAAAATCCGTGTTTTTATAATGCAGACTTTACAGGAATTGCCTAGTGCCCTCTTATGGTATTATTGATTTATACTTTCTGAAACCCAGTTTGCTTCCTGTAAGACAGAGAGACAAAGAAGCATTACACCCTAATCCCTTTCTCCCAGGGAAGGTAACATTTTCATAACTACAGCAAAGATGGGTCTACTTTCTCTTCTCAGCTACTGTTCAGGGAGGTGGTAAGCCATCAGGTCTGGGGTTCTCTTTGTTAGTTTTTTTTTTTTTTTTTTTGAATTGAGAACTCTTTACAAGGTAAATTATAATCCTATGAATCCTGATAGGAATTTAAAAAAAAATCATTTTTGTTATTTTTGCCCGGGCTCTGATGGAGAAATGACTAAGTAAAAGACATTTTAATTTTAGATGAATGTATTATTCACATTAATGATCAAACTCATCTTCAACTCTTTAATCATATTCTACATAAAGATAGATTCTGACTTTCTCCCATTTGACAAGTGATTCATGCTCTTTGACTTACTTTAATTCAGTTGTATAAGAAAGAAACCCCATGATTTGTCAGTGGGCCTCGCAGATGACATAGTAATATGATTAGCTTTGGGATTGAATATAGAGGAAAATGGACTGAAATTTGAAAAGGAGACCAAACTATCTGATATTTTGAATGGTTGCATTTTGTACTTAAAAAACCTCCCATCTGTTTATTTTCAGGTTCATTCATTCATTCATTCTTTAGATTTATTTATTTATTTGAGAGAGAGAAAGAGAGAGTGAGTGCGTGGGGGAGGGGAAGAGGGCAGGAGAATCGCAGACTCCCTGCTGGGCCTAGAGCCTGACGTAGGTCTCGTCTCCTGACCCTGAGATCATGATCTGAGCTGGAATCAAGAGTCAGATGCTCAGCCGATGGAGCCGCCCAGGCACGCCTTGGGTTTGTTTTTCAGGGTTAAGATGGGATGGCCACCCAGGCTACTTGTCGTCACCGCTTTTGACCCACGGTGCACTCGGGCTTAGATCGGCTAATTTGTAACCAACGGAGAAGCTAACTAGATTGCTAGGTCTTACCTCTTTAAACACTGATTTTCAAAGCACTAGACACGTCCTGGGAGATTCTTCTAGGTCTTACAGCCCAGATCATCCAAAAAGCCAGAGCTTTTTTAGATAAAGCTCTGGTCTGTTGAAAACCACCTGACGGAGATTTCATGGAGTCTTAACATTTTGCTCCTTCTGGCTGGTTGTACTTGAACAGCAGGGCTCCCTCTGCTCCCTCCGTGGGGAATAGAAGGGTTCCAGGATCCGTGGGCCTCCTTTGCGTCCTAAATCATGTGGCAAGAATGTCAGCTTCTTCTGTCTAACAGCATATCTGCTTCAGCCCTCCACCTCATGCTGGCGGGACCTTCCATCAGGGTGAGGGGCTGGTGAGCATTGGCCCCTTGGCTGGGTCAGGCCCTCTGCCTCTATCGGAGCACATCTGTTGCCCTGCGGGTCACTGTTTCCCCTTCTGCCCCTGTGTCTCCACTCTGGCTGCTTCTGTCAAGACAACTTCAAGCCCCAAGCTCCAAGCCCCCCTTTATAGGGACTGTCGAGATTCATCGCCTCTCCTAGCTGGCCTAGGGTCTTAAAAAGCAAGGCCTCTGCTTTCTTCCCCAGGAGCCCAGATCCACCACCAATCTGTGGCTCTCTTCTTGGAGTGTGTGGGGGGTAGTAACTCTATTCCCTGTCCCCAGTGTTGTGTGCTAAGGAGAACAAAACATCATTCATATCTTGGCATTCGGTCACACTATTGATGACAAAGAGTCCAAACGTATTTTCACCTTTCATTCTGAAATAATTACAGATGTACAGGGACATTGTTCAGCATCCTAGGTTGCGCCCAGGGCTGATGTCCCTGATAGCCACGGGGCAGTGTGGACACCAGAATGTGATGCCGCTGGCCTCTCTGTGGAACGGACTACAGGGCTGACTCAGTGTGCACCATCACTGCAGACCTTTCCTTTGTGTGTTAAGAACAGTTTTCAAGAGTACAATGGTAGCAACTGCCTGCGGCATCTGGTAGCAGTAAACCGAGGGATAACCAGAAAACCAGCTGAGTAAGCATCTGAGGCATGGGCTTGTTCCTCTAACTGCTGCACATGCTCACTTGGGACGTACTTGATGCCTTTTTATCTTATTTCATTTTATTTATTTATTTTTTAAGGATTTTATTTATTGATTTGAGAGAGAGAGAGTGCGAGCTTGAGCTGGGGGAGGAGCAGAGGGAGAGGAAGGAGAAGGAGAGGAAGCAGACTCCCCACTGAGCAGGGAACACGACATGGGACTCCATCCCAGGACTCCAGGATCATGACCCAAACCAAAGGCAGATGCTTCACTGATTGAGCTGCCCAGGTGCCCCTTTGACGCCATTTTAATGGTGAGAAATATTTATCTAAGAATATCACTCTTGGTTTAAAAAACAAATCAGAAATGGAGACAGAAGCCATCACCTCATGTAGTGAAACGGACCTCCCCTGACCACCAATCCAAGAGTCCCGACTCTTAAACACCAGAGGCCAAGATGCGCCTTACCACGCGCTGGGGGGTTGGGGGCATTTGGGGGGCAGGACGGTGAACACTGGGAAGACTGTCCATTCATGCCTGAGAAGATCTCCTCTGTTGTTCCAGACCCCAGTAGAGAGGGAACTTTGTGGTCGCCTTCCCTGCCGACCCGGGAGGGACGGGGAGCTAGGGAGGAGGGGCGAGCTGTGCGTGGCACCTGAGGAGGAAGGGAAGGAAGTGGAAGGTCACCTCAGCTGCAGGGCGTACTCTGAGGAGGGGGCTGCAGACTGGGAGCCTTGTGAGAACTTCATGGGAGCCTGGACATGTTGTAGCTGGTTTACCTTTGCATTTGGTTTCCACTGAGGTAACAATTATTTTAAGTTGTGCTTCTTGCCAACTCAGTGGTCCTCTCCAAAATCTCTTAAGACCTTGGCTTGCCTGACTACATGATTATGGCTTGTAAAACCCACTCGGCTTCCTCTAAAACCAGTCCTGAGGAGAGCTGATTTCTTGAGGGGCAGAGATAGGTTTAGGTTTTTGAGGAGCTGTTGAGTCTCAGGCCAGGTCCCTGCAGTGCGGGGAGATGGAGAGGACTCTGCTTTTGTCCCTGAGACTTCCAGCCACTCGGAGACCACTTGCCCTCCTCAGGTCACTCTGGGCTGGCTCTCTGTTTCCTTCCACACCAGCCACCTGTCCTAACCGGCCACTGCCTGACACTCATCACAGCTGACACCTGTCCCTCATCCTGGCTGCTTGCCGCCTCTGCGGCCTGGCTCGCTGGCCAAGTTCCCAACCAGGATAGCTGCCAGGGAAGGTTCTAAGACTTTCCACTTTGGAGGCTTCCCCTGACTATCTTTATTATAGGAGCAACAAGGTAAAATGATTTTAAGCCTTGGCTTTGTCAGTTGAATGATGCATAGCGTATCCTAAGATTTGCAAGAGCTTAGCTCAACTGACCACGTGATCATAATGATCTTACAGAACAAAACATTTTTGCTGGTATAATTATTTGCCAATCATAAAGGTCCATCTCAAGCATTGAATATGGATGACTTTTA